GGGACGTTAGTACTGTCGAATAGCACTAGTATGTATAACTAAAAATCCTCTTTCAAAATAGAATGCCCATATAAGAAAAGGCAACACATAGAAACAGCAAGTCACAATCAACAATATCCAAACGTCCAGTTAAAAGATAATAATTTTCAAAATACGAACTTCATATATAATTTTGGTTGGGAGATCATTAGCACCTTTGGTTGGAAGATTATTAGCACCGATATACCATTGTTCACAATACCAATGTTCATAATACCAGTGTTCACAATACCAATGCCACCGTACTTTTAGCACAGAGTCCGATCACGACCCGATCGACTAAGCTATCTCATTAGAGAATCAACCACAATTACTATCAATACCAATACCACCGTCAATTTAGTACGGAGTCCGATCACGACCCGGTCGACTAGGCTATCTCATTAGAGAATCAACCACAATTACTGTCAATATCAATACCATCGTAAATTTAGTACAGAGTCCGATCACGACCCGATCGGCTACGCTATCTCATTAGAGAATCAACCACAGTTACTGTTAATATCAATACCACCGTAAATTTAGTACGGAGTCCGATCACGACCCGATCGGCTAGGCCATCTCATTAGAGATATCAACCATAATTACTATCATTACCAATACCACCGTAAGTTTAGCACGGAGTCCGATCACGACCCGATCGGCTAGGCTGTCTTATTTGAAGACATCAACCAAAATCTCAATTTCAATTAAGAGGAATAATTTTATCACATAAATCTCATCCTAAATAAGGAGAATAATTCACAAAAATAACATAGGTGCAAATATATTTACCTCATCATCTTTCACATTGTATAAATCTCCACTAGTATAATTAGTCATTCACAACGACAATATTTCCTTGGCTCTTTTGGCCATTCACAAGATTTTTTATTCAAGGCACGGTGGCCATATTTGATATTCCACACTTTCATTTCTTCCCTCTCATGTATCATCATCATAAATATCAACATACATATAATATTCCGGAAATCACAACTTTAAGTTCATTAGAAATGAACAATTTAAGCACAATAGATTTCTTTCCGAGAAATGGAGTGATATAATTGGCAATTGATGCACAAGTTAAAACCATCAACAAGTAACACACCATTTATTCTTGAAATAATTTTCCCCTAAAAGGATAATACAAGATTTTCACTCACGAATATGTAAGAATGCAAAATACATTGGAAATACTCACATAGCATAGTATTTGTTAAAACAACCACTTATGGCATGACTTGAGTACGAAAACTTTAGGCAACTCTATTTTCGAAGTCATTTTAAAACATTTGAGTCGAGGCTCATTTCATAACCTTTCTGACATCATTTCATTTCATTGGCACCATTGGCCACAAGTATAACTTTCACTCTTGCACATTGGCCACACTTTATATCCCAATTCACTTATTTTATTTCCAACCACCTTTATAGGTTATCAACAATAATACATTTCCAATCCAGACTTTAGGTACACATATGGGCAATTTCGAGTCTTAAGAATATTGAGATTTTCTCACACAATTAGTATACTAGTTCTTATCTAAAACACGACTCAAAGGCACAATTTTTTAATATGCAAACCATACTTTGAACATCTATCTTTCGACATAAGGCTCATTTGGAATAAACATGTTTATAGGGAATAACCCGGAATATAGAAGTTATTAATCTTGAGCCAATCATACTTGATCTTATGGAAATATTATGGATATTTATTCTAAGAGAGAAAGTTTAGTCAACATACCTTGCTTTGAGCTTTCCTTAAATTACTACAACATTTCGGAAATTTTAGTAATCCCAATCTATTTTGAGACATAACAAAAATTGAACCATTATTAGGAAGATATTCATGATCTCAGCTCATTTGAGCATTTTATCAAACACTAGGTGTGCAAATCTAAGTACAAGGTTCTTCTACAAGATTTCCTTCACTCCACAACTCAATCTTTACTTATTTGAGCACAACAATCTTCCCACAAACCTTATTAGTACAAGCATGTATAAATAATACTCTTATACCCAAGAATCATACTCCAAATCAACCATCTTTTACCCAAATTCGAAATTGAAAACTAGGGTATGGAACCTTACCTCTTAGATGAAGAACTTGTGGGGTTTTCTTGTTAATCTTCCAAGCTTTGAGCAAGACTTGATGAATAATTAGCCTAGGATTTTCTCTCTCTCTAAAACACTCTCCCTTCTTTCTAAAACATCAGAATATTTGCTCAAAAATGACCCTTTGCGTGTATTTAACGAAGTAGGGTTGGGTTGTAAGAACCCAAAAATTGAGCTCCGGAACAGGTTCTGCGGTCGCATATGCGACCGCATAATGGATATGCGGACCGCATATCGATCGCATAATTACAGACCAAAATGATCAAAAATCTGTCCGTGTATGCGATCACTATGCGGTCCGCATAACTGTTATGCGATCGCATAATGCACCGCATAACAGTTATGCAGTCGCATAGTCGACCGCATAATTGCCCCCAGACTGGACCTTCTCCTGCTCACTTCTGCGGCCATTATGCGGCTCGCAGAGTGATTATGCGGTCGCATAATGGACCGCATAAACGCGCTTTTCCGCCAAAATTTTTTCATTACTTTTCGGTGCATTGTTCCATCCTCAAACATGTAAGTCTACTCCGGCACCACGAAACCTTGAATTCACTTGCAAAATTTACGGGGCTTTACACTGAAGTACTTCAAAACTTTCCGGGGTGTTATAGAAATATAAGAGGATGGCCCTAGGAGATGGATCCATATCCACATGCTGCACGGCAAAGACCTCATGCCAAAATAGTAACAATATCATCATAACCATACGATAAAAACCTCATGCCACAACATAATCAACACCACAATATCCGCACGGAAGAGACTCGTGCCAACACCAAATCAATCCGCTCAATATATCCATATGTGCCTTAATTATAACAATTCAAGATACAAATTTATCATAAGGGAGAGATATGCTCACAATTCATCAATAAGGTGCACAACGACATAATAATAATACTCCGTCCGTTTAAACAATATTGGCACTATATTCTTATTAGTCTGTTTTAAAGAGATTGACACATTTCAATATTTCCTTAATAGAAAGCATTTATAGCCACACTAATGGCTATGGCAGATTTAAGACCACAAGATTCAAATTTTTTACAGCGGCACAAATGCTATAGCTTATTTAAGACCATATATCTCAAAAGTCTTCCATTTTTATTAAAGTTTGGGCCTAGACAAACTAGGAAATTTATTTTGAAACGGAGGGGGTAATAAAGTGAGAATGTGTGCTCAAGATGTGTAACTTGACTACGGCTAAATTAATTATAGCAACAATTTCATAATAGCCAATCCCGGATAATTAGGAGATAATAATCCTAAACATGGTCTCTAGAATCAAAGAATGAGTTCACATAGTCATACAAATGAATAAACATATATCATATAAAGCACACAATCCAAACAAGGCATATAATAAGCCTAAAGTCAAATCTAATCATGAATCATATATAGCACCCGTATATACGCTCGTCACCTTGCACATACGTTGTTTATCACATATTACATTTAGACAAATAGGGCCAAATCATGGGGATTATTCCCTCCTACAAGATTAAGAAAGATACTTACCTTAACAAGCCCAAATCAACCTTCTAAAATCGTCTTTCAAATAAGGCCATAAGAATCAATCCCAAACAACAAAGATTCAATCTTTAATCAATTTCTAAAAGTCAACAAAAGTCAACCCGTGCCTATACTATCAAACCATGAACAAGGGGTAGATCACGACTACTCATAACCTCACGAGTCCAAATATCCATTTAAATTCCAAAACCAAGTCCAAATCATAGCTTAAAATCTCAATTTTCAATCACTTAAGTTGTAGGGAAAACCTCTAAATTTACCTCAAAATTTCATGTTTTGGGTGTTAACAATCCATATATATTCTTGAAATAATACTAAAAATGAGTATAAATCACTGACCCAAAGTCATGTATGAAAATATCCAAGTAAAATCGCCCCTCTCCAAGTCTTGGGTTCAAAATATGAAAGAATTGGCTAAAATCCTGAAATTCAACACTTAAATGCACTGCCCAGGGGTACTCTTCGTGAACGTGGCACGTGTCATGCCTTCACGAAGCATAAAATATGCTTTTTTTCCAAAACGCACTCCACGAACGTTATATAGCCCTTGTGAATGTGAAGGCAAAACAGCCCAGCCTTTTGCGAACGCGACCAAGACCTCGGAAACGCGAAGGCTAAAGCCTCTAACTCCCACTATACAACGTGAACGCGACCCTTCTGGCGTGAATGCGTAAACCCAATCTACTTGCTATCGCAAAAATCGACTACCTAGGTGCAAATATGAAGACGAATTTCTCCACAGCACCAAAATATTCATCACGAATGCCAGGATCCTCTCACGAACACGATGAACACGAGACACCAGCAAAATCAACCAACTCCAAACATGCTCTGGGTCATCTGAAACTCACCGAGCCACCCGGAACCCCATCCAATCATACTAACAAGTCAATAGATACTACCCGAACCTATCCAAACACCTACAATAACGTCACATCATTGAATGAAAGATCAAAACAAAAGTAGAACTTCTCTTAAATTCAAGAACTTTCATACTTCTAACCAAGCATCTGATTCAAGCCTAATCAATCCGGATATATCCAAACTTTGCACACAAGTTCCAAATGACAAAAATAATCTATTCCATGTTCCTAAACAATAATCCTAATCCTATATCATCAAAGTCAACTCCCCGTCAAACTTAGGAGCTCTCTAAACCTTCAAATTGCCAACGTCCGGCAAATAAAGCCAAAACATCCTAAGAACCTCCAATTTCAAATATGAACATACGCCTAAGTCCAAAATCACCATACGTTATATAAATCATCAAATTACCAATCCGAGGTCATTTATATAAAATCCAAACCATGATCAACTACTACAACTTAAGCTTCCAACAATGAAACTAAGTGTTCCAATTCACTCCCACACCTTCCCGAAACTAACCCCAACCATCTCTGCAAATCATCAAAAATCAAATAGACATACAGAGAATATCAAATAGGGGGATTGGGGCTCAAATATAAAAAATGACCGTCTGATTCGTTACATTCTCCCCTCCTAAACAAATATTTGTACTCGAACAAATTTAGAATCATGCCTGACCAAAAAGTGAGAGTATCTACTTCCCATATCATACTCGGTCTCTCAAGTTGCCTTCTCGACCGATTGACCTCTCCACCTAACCTTCACTGATGCGATCTCCTTAGACTTGAGCTTCCGAACCTGCCTGTCCAAAATGGCCACCGACTTTTCCTCACCCAGATTCTCAGCAAATTGCACTGTGATGAAGTCCAAAACGTGTGACCTATCTTCATGATACTTTCGAAGCATAGAATCATAAAAGACCAGATTAACACCCGAAATGCTAGAAGGCAAAGAAAGTCTATAATCAACCTCGCCAACTCTCTCCAATACCTCAAATGGACCAATAAACCTCAGGCTCAACTTTCCCTTGTTTTCAAACCTCATACGCCCTTCATAGGTGAAACTCTAAGAAGAACCTTCTCACTGCCCATGAAAGCCATATCACGAACCTTCCTACTAGTATAACTCTTCTTCCTAGACTGAATTGTGTGGAGCCTCTCCTAAATCAACTTCACCTTGTCCAAAGCATCACGAACCAAGTCTGTGCCCAATAGCCTAGCTTCCCCAGGCTCAAACCAACCAACCGGAGAACGATATCACCTACCATATAAGGCCTCATATGGAGCCATTTGAATACTAGACTTGCAGCTGTTCTTGTCGACAAACTCCACTAATGGTAGAAACTGGTTCCACTAGCCATCGAAATAAATAATGCATGCCCTCAACATATCCTTAAGGATCAGAATTATAGGAAAGAAAGATTCATCATGCCAGGCACCGAGGAAGAAGTTCAAAAGGTTCAGGTTGCAAAAATTCCCAGGCGTTAGGTCCAGGTTCAGAAGGAAAATAAAATACTTTAGAAGGAGAAGGTCAGGCAATGCAAGGAGAAACAGAGACTATTTTATTTGTAATAAAATAGGACATTTTGTGAGAAACTGCCTGCAGTCTGAGCAGTCTATTAGACTTCTCTCTAAAATTGCATATTACAAAGGCGTTTATTTCAATCAGGATGTCGATCTTGAATAAGTTTTCTCACTTTAAGATGAGCCCACAGAAGAGACTCTCTTTTCTCTGGATGTTTATGAGGAATATGGTGATGATCAATACCAAATATTAAAATCAAAGCCAAAGGTAAAAGAGGAGATCCACAGCATCACGGTAACCCCGCAAGCAAAAATCAAGGTCTATGCATCCAAGTGGTACAAACCAATGCATGTCATAGATTTCGTTGACACGGGAGCAGCCTCCTTGCTCATTAATCCTGCGGTCTTTCCAGATGAGTATTGGGTGCCGTACTTCAAGAATTTCAGCACAATCTCAAAGGGAATTCTAACCACTATTGTCATTACTAAGCACTCGATCGCTATCGAATTCTTCCCAGGACTGAAGTACATGACCAAATTGATTGGGTCAGACGTCCCAAGTAAGGATTTGATTATTGGTTTTGACATCTACAGGGTTTTTCAAGACAAACTCAAGATCAAAGCCAATGGCATAGCATTCAAAAAATAATTCAAGCCATATTTCGTAGTCCAGTGATTGTTCCAGCTCACTGAGGAAGATCAAGTCAGGGAAATTGAAGCACAAATCACACAACACTCATATGCAGAATCTCACACTGAATTCTTAACCAAATGTGACAATCGTTTATGGAAAAATGAAGAGTTCTTCATCAAGTTTCCTTTCAAGAAAAATAAGAATATCAACCCTACAAAGGCAAGTCACTCTGGTATGAATCCCGACCACCTTCATCTTGCTAAAAAGGAGTGTCAAGAGCTAGTCAGTTTTGATCTCATTGAGCCATCAAATTCAAAATGGGTGTACAAAGCATTTTATGTCAACAAAAGAGCCTAGCAAACAAGAGGAAAATTGAGATTGGTATTAATTACCAACCACTCAATCATTTTCTTTTGGATGATAAGTTTCCCATCCCGAATAAGCTCACCCTTTTCTCCCAAATTGCCAAGGCAAAATATTTTTCTAAGTTTGATGTCAAATTAGGCTTTTCGCAATTGGGAATCCACCGGGATGATAGGGAAAAAAACTAGTTTTAGCATTCCCGATCACCATTTTCAGTGGAAAGTCATGCCTTTCGGTTTAAAAATGACTCCATCTTTGTTTCAAAAGGCCATGATAAAAATATTTCAGCCCATCCTCCACACATCACTTATTTATATTGATAGTATTTTACTATACAGTGATACTTGGGAGGATCACATAAATTTGCTGAATCATGTTGCATCTTTAGTGCGAAAAAATGGCATAATGCTTTTAGCCAAAAAAAATGATTTTTGCAAAAAATGAAATTGAGTATTTGGGAATGCATTTTTCCCATAGAGAATACACTCGAGGTCCTCATATTTATCAGGAACTTCTCAAGTTCCCCAATATTGGTTTCATGACGAAGCAAGTCCAGCAGTTTTTGAGAATAATAAATTATATGAGAGATTTTATTCCTAATGTTTCCACATATATTTCTCCTCTCCCAAAATTTTTGAAGAAGAATGCCTAGCCACGGGGCAAGGAGCAAAGTGATGCAGTTAGAAAAATAAAAGAGGTATCCCAAAGTATCACATCTTTGCACATTCCCTCCAATGGAATTAAAATACTGCAGACAGATGCCAGCAATAAATATCAGAGCGCGATTTGTTTGAGGAAGAATATGGTCTGAGAAAAATATGTGGTTACGCCTGTGGAAGATTCAAGGATGCTGAAAAATAGTATCATTCCACTTTAAGGAGATTCTTACATTGAAAATGGGATTAAAAATTTTAATTTATTCCTAATTCACTTAGAGTTTCTTATTGAGATGGATATGAAAGCTTTTTACAGGATGATCCAGCTAAATCCAAAGATCATTTCGAATATACAAATTCTCAGATAGGCTCAGTGGTTCTCTCCCTACAAGATTCAGGTCAAGCACTTGAAAGGAAACGATAATTTTATTTCTGATTTCCTTTCAAGGCCAGGTGAATTTTCCAAAAGGTTTCAAAAAATAAAGCATAGGAAGAACAATAAATCAGCAGTTTAAATATTCTTGTTCTCACATGTGCCACAACCAGGTTCCGAAAGGTTTCAAAAGGGTTCCACCCCTTGTGGTATCAAACACAGAAAGAAGAGGTCAACAAGCCAAATGTTCATGTTTTCGAAGGACCCGTGGTAAAGTTCCTCATCTATGACATCACATCACCCACCAGAGCTATTGGAATTTTCGGATCCTCTTGATCCGTTCATATTGCTTGGAAGCAGGAATTTTTATGAACTCCAAGTTTTCAAGGAAGGCATTATCCATCCGGAGTATCCATAATGCCAGGTTTTCTCAACACATGCTAGAAATTTTCCACGGGAGCTCTTATGGTACTTTTGGTATCGATGTCATCAAAACTACATTCTTATGAAATTTAAATGTGGTGACTTTCGGGATTTTAAATATCTTGAACCCTACCTAAAAATATTGTTGTTGTGGTTCAAACCTAAAAAATATTGGGTTCATCATTTTAATTCTAGTGGAGCCAAAATATTTATATTCCACAGGCCATTTGACATTGTCCAAATCTCCATCCATGTGATCCCTACAGTTTCTTTGTGCTATCATTATCCAGACATAATTCAAGCAAGGGAAGAAAAGTTCGTTGAGCCCAGGAGATGATTTTTCAGCAGAACAGGCACATTCCAAAGGTGATATGGCCAGGTGAAGAAAAGAGTTGCAGTTATTCTTCCACGTACCCTCTTTGGAAATATGTTAAAGTAAAGCTCAAACAATACATGGCGCTGCTTGGAGACTCACAAGACCCATATGAAATTTATCCGGCAGAAATTGCTAAGATCATTTTAAATGGGGAAGACAACACTCTGTCGCATAAGAGGACATGTAAAAGAGAAAGAAATATGGAAGAATATCATCCGCATATAAAGAAATATTTCACAAGAGCTGAAAAATAAAGGCTAGAAGGGTTAAAGACAAACATATGCGTAATCATGAGCGAAGAAATAATTTGCATAAGCCTTCTAAACCTTTTTAGCAAATTACCCTTTCATAATTCCCCCTTTCCCTAAAAATAAAAATCTGCACAAGTCTTTCCCCTTTTAGTCACTTTAACCACCAAAAGTTACCATAAAAATCCAAAAGTATATCAATAAAGTTGCCTACCCATGTATTTCCATAAAGTTTCCAAAGTTTTATGTCATGCAAGTACTATTCAAGGGCCCCTCATGTCACCAAAGAAAAGTCATTCATGTCAAGCCATAAATTTTTTCAAGTTCTATACCATGCAAATACTATTCAAGGGTCCCTCATGTCATCAAAGAAAATTCATCCATGTCAAGCCATAAATTTACCCTAACCCAATGCCATACAAATACTATTCATGGGTCCTTTTGCCATCATTCATGTCCTGTCCAAACCAAAAACCAAAGCCCAAGGCCATACAATTTATTTTTAGTTCATGATCATGCTTTTATACTTTGCCCATTAGCCAAATAAGTGTCTTACATTGTAAGACTTTTATGTTTCTTATAATTGGTTTATGACACTTGTACTATGTAATTAAATAAGGATAGTACATGTACTAGCTTTCCATCTCCTATAAATAGGAGCCTTTGTAGTAGTTGGAGATCATCTTATTTCCAACCTAGTTCTCTTGTAAAAAATGTTGTGTAATAAAATGACTTCTTCTAGCTATATCTCTTATAATTTCTTCCTTCAAAATATAGGGATATGGCTGGTTTATATATGAGTGTAGAGTCTCAAAATAATTTAGTAGTTGAGGAAGATTGCTCTAGTAATTGAGGAAGATTGCTTTAGTAGTTGAGAAAGATTGTTTTAGTAGTTGTTGCATTAGGAGTGCAAGAGTTTTCCGAGTTCGCTGCTGACAGCCTAGTTGTGGCGAGGGACGCCTTTTGTGAGCCTCCAGTACCCCCTTGTAGGAAAACTTTTGTGTGAATAATTCAACCACTGCTAAGGTGATCCAATCTTGAATTAATCCAATCTCTACAAAGGTAATTCAATATGTATTCTAGTGATTCAATCTCTACTCTAGTATTTTACTGATCTCTACGATTCCCGGTACTGCACTCACCCCTTATGGGCGGCATAAACATGTCTCTAATACCACAGGGGCGAGTGTAGTACCGAGAATTGTAGAGATCGGTAAAGTACTAGAGTAGAGATTTAATTACTAGAATAGAGATTGGAATACCTTCATAGAGATTGGATTACTTCAGTAGAGGTTGGATCACCTTAGCATCGGTTGAATTATTCGCACAATAATCTTCCTTCAATGGGGTGCTGGAGGCTCACAAAAGGCATCTCTCGCCACAACTAGGCCATCAATAGCGAACTAGAAAAACTCTTGCGCTCCTAATGTAACAACTAATAAAGTGTT